TGTTTTGATTACTATCATTTTGTAGTATGGTCTGCAGTCAGGAACCATGATGTGTCTTCTAGTCTTTACAGCCTGATTTTAGCAGGTAAAGATGTTCTCCAGTCTTCCCCAGGCCAATGGGATTACCTCCAGAATCACAATCATTCTAGGTTGGAGCCAGTTTTGAGGCTGTTACCAGGGATGCACTAAAGTTCATGGTTGACAGACTTGTTAGCAGGAGCTCAGGTTTGCCCTGTCTAGTCTCTAGGTAGACAGGACTGCCTCTAGTACATTGTTCAGTAGGATAGCGATTGGACAAGTGTCCACATCAGGATTCACAATTGGATCTTCACTCAGTGGACCAATTACCAGGTATGTGGATGAGTGTGGCTCCCACCAGGTCCCTGAGAGAGCTTCTACCTGGTGGCTGGATGGGTCCTTGGGTGGGCAGGCCTGGCTCTGTACTGTGGCTGAAAGGATACGTGCAAAGGGTATCTTACTGGGCCATCTTGCTGATGTCACTCCTCTTTTTCTTTTTTTGTGGGACATTGCAGCAGTCAGAATCTCTTGAAAATCATGGAAAAGAGTAAATCAATGACTATATTAGAGTTTATGAAGATTATTACAAAGAGTGTGTACATCAGCTGCTTTTCATCTCTGTAGTCAGTAGAATTATAGTTAGGGGTGTAAATTACAGAAAATAAAATTTAGGGAATAAAGTTCAGAATAAGAAATATGTTATTGTACTACCCTGTTATGGCTAACTAGTTTTAAGCTGTTTATAAAATTAAGTTGAATTTAAAAGGTTACAGACCTAGCCTTTACAAATTTTAGCATAATTTTGTTTTTTTCTGTGGTTATAAAAATAATCTCAATTTTAAAGTTTCTCCAGTCACATGAAGATCATACACATTAAGATTAGTCAATATATGTTCTTAGAGATATCAAAAATAATCTAAGAGATACTTCCTAAGATTCATATTCAGCTGATAACTGGGGGAGAAAAGAAATCTTAGAATTCATATGATTTTGGATCAGAAAATATTGCTGAATTTAGCATGATATCTGGAACAGTATTTGCAGTCTGATAACTTTCAAACCAGGAGTTTGCTTCTGATGGTAAATAAATGCCTAGCTCCTTACTGCACTGACATAGACTCTGGGGAAAGAGGAGTTAGATATCAATCAAGTGTCCTGCTAATTTGAGGGAGGATGCTGCTTCAGATGCTTGCAAGGGGCTTTTTAGCCACATTTACTACCCAAATAACCTACTTTGAGCAACTCCCTTTTATCTAGGAGATACTCGCTTAAATGTTATAAACTCATCCACCTGATATAAAGAGATAGAAACTCACTGAGACCACAGCACTCATTCCTGAGGTTCATAAGCTTAATATGGTTACTGAATATATTAGTCTAGACAAGAATCTATCCCCTTTTTGATGAAAGTGTGAATTTTCAGCTATTTTATTTATAGCACATGCCCTGTAAATAATCAAGATCACTTATTATGGAGCTGAGGCTGCAGTGTGTAGGTTTTATGGTACTCTAATTCCATTACCTGGCAGCTGATTTCAATTCTTTGATGCCTTTGAGACCTCTGGATGCCTATACCCTGTCTTAGAGCAGAGTTTCTCAACCTCTGTCCCTGGACCAGCAGCAGTATCATCTGAGAGTTTGCTATAAATGTAAATTCTCAGGACCTATTCTAGATCTTCCAAATGAAAAACTCTGGAGGTGGGGCCTAGCAATCTGTATTTTAACAAGCCTTTCTAATTGTTACTGTTCATGCTTAAGTCTGGAAACCACTTTTTCAGAGAAGTTTACAAGAACTCTGAGGTCTTCCATTGAGTTACAGTGAGAAACTACAGTTTGAGATTATTCCAAAGGAGCTTTGCTGAACTTCAACCCCATAGCTCCTAGTAATTACTTGAGGAGTTCAGGCAACTTGGAATGTGTATCACTGAAACCATCTCTCGTAGGAAATGGCCCAAGTCTTGAGAAAATCTCCACACTGGCTATAAGATATAAGTCATGTAATACCCAAATGAGAGGCCATTCATTCATTTAATCAACAGATGTTTGAACATGTACTAAGCTCTGGTCATATATCTGAGTCAAGGATCTTGTGGTCAAAGAAAGAAGATAAGATGTGAGTAGAATTATATAATACATGGGAGAAGAGTTCACCTTTAACTCAAAGATATCAGACTCAAATTCAAGGGAAATCAACTGCAGCGTTAGCTACTGGTTTTATGACAATGGATAGCCATAAATATTTGTCAAGCTACCATAAAGATAATCAGTGGTGAGGTTTGGAAAAATGAATTTTGTGATTCTGTGTGGAATGGGCAAGAAGAATAAGGAAACAGAGAGGGAAGAGCATAAAATGTAACACTTGAGAAGAGTAGGACCTCACCTAGGATGGACATAAAACCCAAAGGAATTTTACCACTGATTGGCTATGAGATTATTAGTAATGAAAAGGAGTAAGTGGAACATGCATCTGAAGTTTGGAGACTAAAGAAGTGAGATTATTATGTTACTAAAATTTAAGTGAAATAAAATGTGAAGGCGTGAGATGGGAAGCTTGTTATGTTGTGAACATGTTGAATGTGAAATGCATACTGAACATCCAAATTAAGGGGTTCAAGTTACAGGTTCACAAGAAAAAAAACAGGATTGGACATGTAAATTAGGGAGACATCTACACAGAACTGACTGTTGTTGTCATGGAAAGAAAGGGGATTTTTAAGGGAAAGAAGGCTGAGAGAAAAATGACGCAAGCCATAGAAAACATCTTGAGAAATGACAGCATTTATAGATTGGAATAGAGATGTCCATGGAGGAGGCAGAGGAACCAGAAACAGTGTCATGTAAGCAGTATCACTATATCCAGCTGGAACTTACCCGTATTGGTGGGACCAGTTGTTTACATCTCTTCTGAGTCATAAGTGCTCTATTCTTTTCAGTGTTCATGTTGGTGTGGTTTTCAAAGATTTTTAAGCCTACAGAAGACAAAGGTCAAGGAATGAGGGTCTAGACATTATGCATGCCAGATCTGAGCATACTTCAACACTTTGTAATACTTTATAGAAAATTGGAGAGCACCCTCCCAGAAAGAAAATAGTCCATGCATGAAATCATTCTGCAATCTGCCATCTGACTTAAAGAGTCCTCCTTTTGGCCCATGACCCCTGTACTACTCTTAGATCAACTACACATTGATCCTCTGGAAATAGACTGTTGTCTTGTCTGCATATTCTACTAGACTGGAAGCTACTGACCCATATAATAAAGGAAGATTTTTATCTCATAGATATGGCATGTGAATATCTAATAAATGGACATTTCAATTAAATATTAACTGGTATTATAGCTTTATTTGTGCTATTTTCTATGATTTCTTAGTCAACTAAAGTGTTTACATCAACAAAATGATACCACTGTAGACTCCTGACATATGTGCACAGACATGGTATAACAAATATGATTATTGTTTTTTGTGAAAATTAAATTTTATTTGTAATATGTACAACTATATCCTGGTTGAAGAATAAAGAAAATACCAAATACCAAAATATGACATGTTTGGGATGATCTTTTTTTTTAACCTTTTTTTTTAACCTGAAAGCTGCTTTAAAAAAGTCTCCCATAGCTAAAGATGTTTTCCCAGGGATCCTGTAGTGCAGTTACTAGTTCCTTGTACACCTATTTTAACTTTAGATAAAGTAAACAGCTTTCTGAGTTTTCTCTAACAAGTTGCAGAATGACTTCTAAGTGGCTCACAATTATAAGACTACTAAAATGAACACACACATATGGATCTTTGGAAGTGAGCTTTAGTGTCCCTGAAGGCAAAAGGAGTGTTCCAAAGCCACCGAGAGCAAGTCAAGGATGCCCATCTGTCTTTGATGTTTTGTACTCCAAAAGTTTTTAATTATCTATGCTAAATGCAAAGTTCATTTTGTTCTGGAATTTAGGAGTGTTTCAATGCAGCTTGATCTAATAATCAAGTAATATGCTGACAATCATCAGAGAAGCACAAAAGAAAGCTAAGGATATTGATATTAATAGACTCAATGTATTGACAGTATCTAGAATTGAGATGAATTATGAATCCTGATATCACACTCTGAAAAGGACATTGACAAATGAAAGACTAGGCAGAAGATAAATGACTTCTTCTTAGAAGCAACAAGTGAGAATTTGGGGATGTTTAAGTTAAAAAATTAAGATGAAGATAATGCATGATTGTAGCCATCAAATATTTGAAGAGTTCTTTTGTTAAAAAAAAGGGGGAAGGATGAGGAACAAAATCATATTTTAGAACTAAGTTTCATCCATTTTATATTGTAGTTTTGATTCTTATCATCAAACTGATTAACACGATAATTTGGTGATATTTTACATATGAGATAAGTGGAGATCCAAAAAACAATATGTTTTTCTATAATTCAGTGTGCTGATAGTCTCGGTCCTAAGACCCAAGAACCAGCTCCCAATAAAAAATTAATTATTCTAAGTTTGGTTTTATTTTCTCTTCAACGGAAAATCAGCACAGTGCACACAACCTAAAAATCATTTTTCCACAATCAAGCCCATTTCAGTTTTCTGTTTTTTATCAACAGAGTAAAATCACCAAAGGAAGGATTAGGTGGTGTACAATTATTTAGACTAAGAACATACTATCCAAATATGTGGAAGCCATCAAGATTCTTCTCTGTGATCTGTGCATGAAAAGTATGGAAGTTAACATTTCATTGCTCTTTTCATTATTTTTTGTCTTACTGTCTTAATAACAACAACAGAAAAATGTAACCCTCCCTCATACCCCCAAATTAGTTCCAGAATACTAGGCATTATTGAATTCTTAATGAAAATCAGCGAAGACTCTTCTTTGGTCTCCGAGAAGTGGAACATTTGGAGATGTTTATGAAAAGAAGTGAATCTTTTCATGTCCTATTGTTTTTTTTTTGTAGAGTAGTGACTTCAACTTTACTCTGTAATGTTTTTGACAGATAATAAAGATTATGATGCATATTTATCATACACCAAAGTGGATCCTGACCAGTGGAATCAAGAGACTGGGGAAGAAGAACGCTTTGCTCTTGAAATCCTACCTGATATGCTTGAAAAGCATTATGGATATAAGTTGTTTATACCAGATAGAGATTTAATCCCAACTGGAAGTAAGTTAATGTTTTCATTTAAGAGTGTGCATATTCTTATTGTCTGTCTGCATAATCATCATTTTTTAGACCGGATTTTAACTTTTGGTTCTTCTCCGTCTGTCAGTTTTTCAAGAAAGAAATGTCATTGCGTGTTCATCTGAAAAATAAGTTTTGATACCCCTGAAGAGCTACTTCCATTATTCTATAAAGCATCTCATGTTATGAGCCTTGACATTTAAAGAAACGATATGAGCGATTTGTACCTGGGAAACTATTTCTAACACTGAGAGAAGAAAAGTCCATACACTATTCAAAGTGATCATTGGCTATTTTCATCTTCTCAGAGTTTTACCCAACAGCCAGCAATTCTCATTTAATGTGAGAGAGAGTCTACCGAGGCTTTCTGGACCAAATGTTCAATTTACTTATTCTGACAAACCCTTTTCTCTTTTGTAGCATACATTGAAGATGTGGCAAGGTGTGTAGATCAAAGCAAGCGGCTAATTATTGTCATGACCCCAAATTACGTAGTCAGAAGGGGCTGGAGCATCTTTGAGCTGGAGACCAGACTTCGAAACATGCTTGTGACTGGAGAAATTAAAGTAATACTAATTGAGTGCAGTGAACTACGAGGAATTATGAACTACCAGGAGGTGGAGGCCCTCAAGCACACCATCAAGCTCCTGACCGTTATTAAATGGCATGGACCAAAATGCAACAAGTTGAACTCTAAGTTCTGGAAACGTTTACAATATGAAATGCCTTTTAAGAGGATAGAACCCATTACACACGAGCAGGCTTTAGATGTTAGTGAGCAGGGGCCTTTTGGGGAGCTGCAGACTGTCTCAGCCATTTCCATGGCTGCGGCCACCTCCACAGCTCTAGCCACTGCCCATCCAGATCTCCGTTCCACCTTTCACAACACGTACCATTCACAGATGCGTCAGAAACACTACTACCGAAGCTATGAGTACGACGTACCTCCTACCGGCACCCTGCCTCTTACCTCCATAGGAAATCAGCATACCTACTGTAACATCCCTATGACACTCATCAACGGGCAGCGGCCACAGACAAAATCGAGCAGGGAGCAGAATCCAGATGAGGCCCACACAAACAGTGCCATCCTGCCGCTGTTGCCAAGGGAGACCAGTATATCCAGTGTGATTTGGTGACAGAAAAGCAAGGGACATCCAGTCCCTGGGAGTTTGCGTGGAGTCTGCAGTCCAGTGCCTGGAACTAAATCCTCGACTGCTGCTGTTAAAAACATGCATTACAATCTCTAGAACATGAGGAAAAACAGGGTCTTGTACATATGTTTTTTGCAATTTCTTTGTAGCATCAGTGTCTTCCTGTTTTACCACGTCTCTTACCATTACATTTTTTGACTTTGTTTTATATGTCATTGGAATTTGTAAATTTACATTTTTTTAAAGAAGAGACTTCTGTATAGATAGAAAACCCTTTTTTGCTTCATTAGTTTAGTTTTAGAATGGGTTTTCATTTCCTTTCCTTGATTTTGTTTTGCTTTTAACATTTCCTTGGGGTGCTTGGACAAATCTATCCGATGGGACAAGGAGCACCGGATCCTCTCTTGGGTTCTGCCTAGGATCAGCAGGGCCATGTGGGCCTTCAGAGAGCAGTGCAACGAATGCCAGCATTGCCATTTGGGGAAGAAAAAAAAAACCATGAGAAGAACACTTGTTCATAGGAGGGCCCCGCCAATCAGAGCCCTGAATCTCTTCCTTGTCCCACCTCATTCCCCACCTCTACCCTTCTAATGGCGGCATGATATGTAAACTCTGAGAAGGGGTGGGGGTGGGTCTAACTGTCTTAACATTTAATTCACTGCTCGTCAGAATACACTCCAGACCCAAAAGTGTGCTAGTCACTTGCCAGTGACCACTACAGAGTGCTAAGAAGAGAAGATCAAGGGCATGAAAATGGGGGAGAGTGTGCTGTTTCCGTTTTATAAATGAGTTGATGTACCCTTATATAAATATATATATATATATATATATAAAACACACAGCAAAACAAAAGAAACAAACAAAAAAAACAAAAAAACAAAAAAACAAAACAAAAAAATCAAGCCCTATATTTGATCACTTCCTGGAAAGGCATGAATGTGTTTGTGGCTGTTTTTGTTTAATATTCTACTTCCTCTTTTCCTTCTATAATTTTTCTGCAAATGAGATTATGTGCAAATGCCAGGCAAGTTAACTCAGAAGGGTGAATCAACACAAGTCAAAGTGAAATTTACGTTGAAGGCTTCCAAACCAAAGGGAAGGACAGGATGTGTCATCAAATATATTTTGTCACCTTGTATTATACAAAATGTTATATTCTAAAGAGTCAGAACAAATCTGTGAAACTTATTATGGGGTCCCCTTGTATTTAAATGTTAATTCGCTGTATTTAATTTTCAGTGCTATATTCAGAATCAAGTGTGTGGTTTCAGTTTGTGAACATAAGCAACACTTATTAATATCAAAGTGTTTATATAAGAACTCAGGAGGTCAAACATATGAATACCAACAGAAATCAGTATTTTCAAAATAAACATTATTTACACAAAATAGTTTTTAAATTAGATGAGAAAGTATTTAAAATAATTAATTTTACTGTATAAAGAATTAATTTTATTTTAACCGTGTAATTCTCTTTCAGAAACAGAAAGCTGATGCTCCCAGGAAATACATCCCTTACCATTTAGCTTTATGTTTGAAATCGATGACATAAGCAGCTAATACATATTCATGTTGAAAATGATGCAAAATCAATCATAAAGGAACTTGCAGAGGGCAGAATTGCTCAAGGGAAATATTACCTAAGTAGCTTTTAGTTTAAAAAAAAAATCAATGTGATGAAAACACTGATAAAAGAACTTACACATTACTTCAGTGACTCACTGTAGGAACTTCCATTCCAGTCCTTGTCTGTGGGCTTGTGTAGTGACTTGTATGTTTGGTTTCTTCCTAACACCGTATAATGAGAACACAGTTCTGAAGCAGCTGTGGTCACAATACTAAGGTGTGAGTAGGCCACACGCACTAAAACGTAAACTTCAGCAGAGTTCACTGGGGAGGGTAAAATTGAATTGCAAGTGTATGAGAGGTGATTATAAGAATTTTGTAACAATGCAAAAGTCTCATATTTGTGTGACAAGGGAAAGGAGCCTTGGGATGTACATTGATTTTTATTTGGTAAAAAAATGCTTATTTCCCTGACAACTCACCTGGGTCCTTCTCTACAGTCTGTTCTTTCTTCCCGAGCTCCCCTTGGACCTGTGTCACATTTTCACAAACCAGAATTGAAGCTGCAAGGACACATAAACTTGAAGGTCAGCTTTGCACATTGGGTTATTTTCAGAATCCAAGAAGGCCATTGTTTACTTTGTACTATGGACACTTGTCAGGGACTGGTGGCAGTGAACCTCATTGGACTGGATTCCAGATCCCCCCAGTGCTCAGAAAACTGCAAACATGGCAATGGCCTGGTTTCTTCCTTTCTTCCTTTCTTTCTTTCTTTCTTTCTTTCTTTCTTTCTTTCTTTCTTTCTTTCTTTCTTTCTTAAGTGTACGATGGAAGTGTGGAATAAATGTAGGGGAAGTAATCAGACCACAGTCATATTTTAGGCATCCATAGGTGTTAATTTAGCTGCATTGGGAGTACATTTTATGTTCTATTTTTAGTGTAGATTTAAGCACTTTGAATAGCATGATTCAGGGATTGATGGGTAATATTTGATATTCTCACAACTTAAAACCTTTCTTTTCCTCTAATGCTTTGTCATATTTTTAGAAAATGAAATAAATGGAGAAGAAGCTATCTCTGGCTTTAGAAACATTCCTACCAAGTATTCCTCTATCAGCTCCTTGTGAGAACAAATGAAGGAAACTGTCATGTGTTCACGTGCTCTATGTTTAACAAAAGTTATGTTAGAATTCACAATAAAGAGAGAAAAAAATGTATTTTCCCTAGTGCTTAGGTTTCATCCTTCTCTTTTTTCGGTGGGGGCTATGGGGAATAAGAATATGCTAGTTGTAAAAACATAGTTGGAAGTGTGACTATGTTAGCCAAGCTGAGGGAGATAATGGGCTTCTGGACTTGGACATGCGTGATGTTTGGCCTTGCCTGTTTTTCATCAATCGCTGCTCAGACTCTCAGTGACATATTATGGATTCGAAAGTCCACCTGGTTCTTTAATGTAACCTCTAGTTGCTGCCTGTGAGCGTCCTGCCCTTTATACTGGTGCTCAAATCTTTGATTATTTAATTTGTAATCCATTCCTTACGACTCCTATGGGCAGAGAAGAAATTTGTATCTCATGCAGCCAGTGGGTCTAAGTTTAGATCAATTATATGAAGTAAATCTAAGACACAATGAGTTAAGAGACCTGAAGCTACTATATTTCTATAGCTAAACAACTGATTGTTCAGTCAACCATTTTGTGTTTATTACTTTCTTCATAGTCTATGTATTTGAACCTTATGGACCTAAATACCTAGAGACTGCTTTCTTCCTTATTTCGTTATTATTTAGCATTTTATAACAAGAACAAATATTAACTGAGAGCCAATCCTAAACACCAAGTAAGTTTTGTTTATCCTAGAATCGTCGTTAACTTTGACAGATACCACTTATGTGAATTAAGATCACTGTTTCCAGGAGAACATTAAATCGTACACTTGTAAAGTATTTTCTGATTCTGGAATGACACCATAGTTCTCCTCTTTCTAAGAAGTGATTTTTATCTTGTGCTTAATTTCTGTCTTTGTAAAATTTAGTTTAAGTTAAATCATTAGTCCCAGAAGAAAGCTTACTAAATTTTACTTGTGGTAGTAAGATGAATGGAACTAAGAGAATACGTAGACACAAAAGAGGAAAATCCCTTACTGTTTGTGATCTGAACTTGCTTGTTCATTATTCCCATTACTGTCATGGTTGATTAAGAAAGGTGAACTATTGTTGAATGAGTAAGAAGTCCTACCTGCAGACACATATGCCCTATCACTGAAGAATTTTTTAACAATATATATTGTTATTACAAAGAGATGATGATGCAACTGAGTTCCCTAGTGGGAGCAGCATGTTCATGTAAACAGAGATATTCCTTGTCTTATCACTAACGCTTCCCACTTTATTGTTCTGAACAAAGAATGTAACCAACAGTCAAGTTTGGATTATTCTTAACAATAAACCTTAAACTTGGGTTCAAGGATACCTTGAGTCTATAAAAAAAGGATTAAAGGAAAGCCGTTGAAATTCCAGACAAAATTTTGAATGTGTGCAAAACTATGTCTTCTGGGATCTGAGTCTCAAAAGACATCTGTCACCTAAAAGGTTATTGATGTTTGGATTTAGAGCATATTCTCAGAAACTGACATTCGGAAAAACCTTATATCTTGCAGACTCTGTGATGGCTAGTATTCCTTACCTTCACTCATGAAAATTCAGGGAATGATTATTGTTCTTTTAACAAACAGAGGCAATTCCTCTTCCAACATAACCCAACTTTGTGGGAGACTTGGTTTATAGTGAGGAAAAACTTTCCTTGATGACAAGTAATTCACACCCAAATAAATGAGAGTTGACTAACTACTATGATAGTTTACTCATTTCTTAATTTACTCAAAAGATAGTTTGGGGGAGTGTGAAATCAGGCCATTTGGCATGATGCCTTATTTCATTAAACTTTTTTATGGTTTGGATTTAATCATGTTTCCTACAACAAAACTTAGAAGAATTAATCTAGTATAGGAGTAGAAGAAACAACCTGTTTTTCCAAAGGGATGCAGTTTTCTTATGCTAAGATTTAGAATTGGCTATATACTTTGTTTTCAGCAGCTGTGCTTTGGCCAGTTTTAGAATTTATGATACAACTTTGGGGCAGGACGAAGAATTTAGAGGATAAACTGAAGAGAGGTGGTAGTTATTTAAAGTTTTACTTTTTACTCATGATTGGCAACAAAATGAAAGTCTGTGCTGTCTCAATAACTAAGATACTGCCACACAGAACTGAAAGACCTGTATGAGTTTGGATAAAGGATGATAATTATGACTTGATCCTAATCCTAATTTTGTGTGTTTTGTCATCATCAAACTTCAGTTACATGCATAGAAAAGGCCCAGAATGAAAAGAAGGAACTCTGTTCTAATCTTCCATCAAGTATCATTTCTTCCTTCCAGGCTCAAAATACAAAACATCTCTCCATTATAGACACATAAGATAACATAAAAAGAAAAATTTCCTTCTGCTCTTTAGTAAACGTTCCTCTAAATAGTCTCTGAGTCCACTGGCAAACTCATGTTTCTGGATTGTTCATTAAAGTAAGTCAAGTAAGGCATTATTGTTTTTCTACCATTCGCTACCTTCGTTGATGCATCCCCCAGGGTCCACAGCCTGAAAAGTATTCTCTTACTAACAAAGGCAGTTGCTGTAAGTCATTACACTGTATTCCCTCCACTACTTAATGAGTAGAAACCGAAGAACTGCACATGAACTTGAGACTATTACATGTAATATTGTTGTTGTGTAAATTTCAGTCTTCATAGTCCAGATAACCTTAAGTTTCAAAGGGCATGCTGGTCATTACAAAAAAAAAAGATTTAATGTAAAATGACATATTACATAGTGCATGAACATGTGGCAAAGTAATTTGGATCTATCCTTACTAGTCAATGAGAGACTAAATTTGGGGACATCAGATGTGAGTGTTTTAGGTTAATTCTCAACTGGGATGAAGACATCTTTATGTTAGGATACATGGACAGTTGTCCATATTCCTTGCAACATATGCTCCTGGTAGCTAGACTCCTTAGAGTGTTCTTTCCACCAAAGTAGTGGAAATATGTTCATATAACTTGCTATTGAATTGTAAAAACTTTTGCATTTTCAGAGTTTGAGGGAACCCAAATAGGAAAGTGAATTTAGTCATTTTCCTCTGCTGGTGTTCAAGTCAAATTTTAAACTCAGACACTCTCAGAAATGTTTAACAGTCAGTAAAAAGTGCATTTTACATAGTGTTTCTCTTTAGTTTTGCCTACCCTCTTTGATTTTGTACAATCTAGAATGTATGTAACTCATGCGTAGGTGATGGAGGCGCTCCTTTTTTTCTTAGAATACTTACGATTATATATTTGGTTTTGCTTTGACTAGCAATAGGAAAATAGACAAATACAAGTGTAAAAATGAGAAATTTTAAACTTGAATTATAATTTGTGTTTTATAGTCGTTTCATAAGTCTGTTGCTCTCTATGAGTATGCTCTCTATATATCCTGTAAAAATAAATTTATATGTTACATAGAAATTCAAGAAATTAAATTATTTATTAAGCTACAAATGTTTCTTCTGGTTTCTACCTGATCATAGATGAAAATAAATTAAATAATGTGTTGTTGGAACCTATGTAAGTACCTTCGTTAATTTGATAACTCTTGTTATACTTTTCTCTCCCTCTCTGTTCATGTCTGTATAAGCTTAAACTTAGATCCTATTATGATTATGAAGAAAGGGACTTAAATGGCCAGTTGGCTGAACAAAGAGAAAAACCTTGTTGAAAAGTCAAGTGCATTTGCAATCTGTCTT